GTTATTAGGGAACGAAAAATGAAGCCATATAACCAATGTACACTTGATTCCTTATCTTGATTATTGATAATCGAAAAGTGAATTATATATTGATTTGATTTTTATTATAGATTTATATATTGGCTAGAAAGATAATGATATCATTAGATTTAAAGAAAGAAACACGTAACAGAGAGATTTWAAAAATGTATATTTAGTTTTATTGAATTTTGACACTCTTGTTATAATACATATTTGGTGCACGCTAAATATCAAGTGATAAATTATGTTTTACAATGCTGTGCTAAAAGATAAGTTCTAACATCTTTCGAGATATGACCGTTATTTTTTTGTTGCAACAYATTTAAATTCAGGGTTTTCCCCCAAAAAATGTTGCATAGTGTGAAAAAACGTTTTTTAAGATTTATTATTTCAAAATTAATAGATATAATAGGCTTCAGAAAATATATATGCCATATTCATTTGGCGACAGTTCATTATCAATGCGTAATATTGATTAGCGCATACCGTGTTTATTGTCGCCATATTGGAGGTCAACTTTGAACATCGCCCGCTATTCTGAATAGCAATTGATAACTTCCAAGCATTCTCTTATGTGTGAGTCAAATGACAACGAAATGGAAGCCATGTTGTAGGTATCTTTGGTTTAGTGCAGTTTTCGTATGACTGTGAAAAGCTTATTTATTCTAGAATTTTAATTGGCTGATTTTTTTCGTGCGCAATATGATTGGTCTAAAAGTGCCGTGATCTTGGCGTGACCGTGTCCGCGCCGTGTTTATGCCGTGTTTCGGGTATTTGATTGGATGGAGAGTGAATTCTCGAGAAATATGATTGGTCTGGCGTATCCCTAGCCGTGTCAAGAACGTGTTCGTGCCGTGAGCTTTTCACAGTCATACGAAAACTGCTCTGATACCACCAACATGGCCGCGATGATGTATCGTACAAACCAAATAATTTTGATTCTTGTTTGCCATGTTGGATGATGATTATTTTCTCCTCGTGGMAAATTTTAAACACGTGGCGCGCATAAATCACTATACTAACGAAGGATTGGAATAGTAAATTTGAATTATGACGTCATTTACTATAACTACCAGACTCCCTTGCGCACTTTCTTGTGTTCAGTTAATTAACACCTATTGTCTTACTATTCTCATGAAGGAATACGATTTTGAATAAGAAAGAAAGTTCGCAAAGCATTTTGGTAGTGGTACAGTAAAATGACGCCATCATGTAGACTTCTTAGTTCGTGACGATCATTACTCATTTGTCTTTAACCGTTTCCCTTCACTCTTATTTCAAATCCCTCCCCC